GGGGGGGGGGGGGGAGGGGGAGGGATGGAGTGCCACCACCTAACACCCCATGTTGCCCCCTGTCCGGTCCTTGGCGCTGCTTGCAGGGAGCTGGGTGAGGCAGCCGAGGGCAGCACTGCTAGCCTTGGCTCCCCCACCCTCTTGTCTGGTATTCGGCACGGCTTTGGAATCAAGGCGGCGCTTCCCCACACATGGAGCACTCTGATTGATTGGCTGTTTCCATCAGCCAATCAGATTGTGAATAAAGTGTGACAGACAGACAGACATAGGCTTTTATAATTTTAGAGTAACTGCTTTTATAACAGATGCACCCCCACCTTATATTGGCAACGTTTTACATACTCAAGATTAGCCTTTTGTAGAAAGCCGAATGCCTAAAGTAGCTATTTTATTTCATAGATTCATAGAAGTAGGGTCGGAAGGGACCTTGTACATCAGGTCCGACCCCCTTTCCTGGGCAGGAGAGAGAAACTGGGCTCAAATGACCCCAGCCAGGTAGACGTCAAGCCTCCTCTTAAAGACCCTCAGGGTAGGAGCCATCACCACTTCTCTTGGAAGTTGGTTCCAGATCCTAGCCGCCCTGACAGTGAAGTAGTGCCTTTGGATGTCTAGTCTAAACCTACTCTCTAACAACTATTTGTAACTATTTGAGAGCCATCTCATTATTTGTTTTGAATGGATTTTTTTCTGAGTGCTGTGAGAATTGAAATTAGGAGAGAGATCCATAATACTCGAGCAGATAATCTTGTGTGCAAATTTATGCTTCATAGGCTGCGTCCAGACATGCAGGGGAAGTGTGGTTTGTGGCCCCTCAAACCTCTTTGTGGTGCTGCAAACTGTATGCTGCAAATGTTAAAACATGCCCTGTGCTGCAAATTTGCAGTGTAGGGCCAAAATTTGCTACCGGGATTTCCTGGTAGCAAACCTCCCCTCCCCTCCCCCCAAAACTGAAGCAGTACAATGCATGCACAGCAAGCGTGTACTGGCAGACAAAGGCCGGGTCATCCAGAGCAATGCTCTGGCTGCCGACCAGGCCTATGTACTGACCCATCTGTGCTTCTGCTGCTCCAGGCCACCAGGTAAGACTGCTAGGCCAGCACTGGTACTGGCCTTAGCCCCTGAAGAGCCAGGAGAAACTGGGCAAGGGCAGTTTGCCCGTTGCAGGACGTTTATTCTGCAATGAAGCACGCATGCAAGGGCATATGCTGTGGCAATCTGAACTGCTGCAAACGCATTGGACATGGCTGTAGAGTACAACAGTTGTTAGTTGTAATAGCGCTATTGGCTTTTAAGAGATTCATGACTTTTGCCTCAAGGATGAATTATTTTGAGGCTGAGAACTGAGAGAGACAAATGATTGTAGGATGTAGGGGTGTCCTAATACTCTTTCTGCACCAATCTTTAAAGCCTAACGTGTTGTAAGAAACCCACACTTGGATTCCTTTGGGGTGTTTTATTACTACACAACAAACCTCCCTCTCCTTTGACAATGCTTTTCTTCAGTGTTCCTGTGGCGTATGGCAGGCTAACTTTGCTATTTCATGGTTGCAGGGGCGGGCAGTTATTTCGAGTGGAGGGTCCACTCACTGAGTTTTGACAAGCCATCAAGGGCCACATGACAGGCAGCCAGGGGCAGATAAATATTAATTTTCTAAATTTCGTAGGGGCCCCATGGGCTGGATAGAATGGCTTGGCAGGCCACATCTGGCCCATGGGCCACATTTTGCCCACCCCTGCTTTAGAGGGATATTTGTAGATTTAAAAAAAAAAATTCGTAGAGTACTGAATTCTCCTTGATAGACTCATATCACCAAATATCTTGTGATGTGAATTATAAATAAGTGTGCTTGCTGGGATGGAGTCTGAAACTGGCCATCAAGCATGCCTTTCAATATTCCAAGCATTTATAAGTTTAACTATTAACTTTTGTTTCTAGAGATTTAAAAATAAAATGGGATATATATAGTTAACAAACTTCCTGGTATTTCATTCTTTTTCTTAAAGATATCTGTCTTATTTTTAATATTAATATACAATAAATTCGTTTAGTCTTAGCTTAGCAAACTACCTATGTTAACCTCCTTAATGTTGAACCAAACTCTGAGACGAGGTGCATATCATACTTTTGTTCAGTGCTGAATACATTGACAGTACTCGGTAAGTGTTGGAAAACATTGTAAGTAAAATAAACAGGAGAAATATAGATTACAGTGATTCATAGTTCCTTCTAACCTTCTGCTTCAAATACACAGGTGTTGCCTTTGTCAGATGAATGCTGCCTGATTTTTATTGCCATGTAATTCACCTGCATCAAGATTAAGAAAGCACTTTTTATTAAATAAGCTTGGGAAACAAGATAAATGTACTTTGCTTTTATGTAGAATGCATTGGATATCTATTTCTATGATGAGCATTTAAAATCTCTCCCAGCACAATCAGGAGGAATGCATTATCTCCTGTATAAAGGCAATACAGTGCTGAAATATTCCTCCTTAATTTTGGTCAGAACGAACAAAAGTGTCTGTGTTTATTCCTGCCTAATGCATCACAAATCTGCTGACATGCTAACCTTGGAGTCTTGGCTGGCGTTAATCAGGCCTGTGCACCGGCAGGAAAGATGTACCTAATGCACTCCATCAGTGCAGTTTGCATATGGAAGTTCTCACAGGGGAGCTGCCCTGTGCCAGCTGAGGGTTACCTGCCCACTGCAGTTATTGTATGTAATTATCGAACCAATCTGTTCAGCCCAGCAGGGTTTAGATGGTAATCATGAAGCAACACTTCGGAAAGGAAAGATGTAATGCACTCTCCCCTTCTCTCATGAGCTATGGGAAGTTGTAACCACTTCTAAAGCTATTTTAGTGAAGCAGTGCATTCTTACTCAGTTACTAAAAAATGGTGGGTTAAACTTCGCCAGGGTTTAGCAAAGTTATTTTGTATACATGGGCCAGTCCATCCTTTGCAAAATGACATGGCTTTTTTAAAAAAGAGGATCTTTCCATAGCCACCTTAAGAATACTTTGCAACAGTAGGATTAATTGTAATACACAGATAATAACAGTTCTATCCTTTTAAAGGTTTTAAGATAATGTGCCTTGAATAGAGTTCAGCTTTCCCATGTCGCTCGCTTTGGAACAGAACCCATACTTGCCATTAGGAAAAATAATAATGTGCTGTCAGTGGGTGTAGTTACTTTTTTAGCTGTACTGAAAATGCCTCAAGGAGAAATACAGATTCAAATAAAGTTAAACTTTAATATTGTATATATTAGTTTGTGTGTGTGTGTATATACATTTGTTTTATATAACTCTATAACATTAGTTTGGGATACATTTTTTTACATTATTTTAGGATTTTCAGATTGATCCTTGCTTGTGATAATTACTAAATTCTAACTTGTTACGGTGTTTGAAGAATTGTGACCATGAAACATGGATTTGTGATTTAAAGTAAAACAATTTTTAATGTGATCTAATAACTGTAGAGAGGGGTGATGCTTATTATTAAATGGTAATAATTTATTATAATAAGTACTTTGATTTCAGCATTGACAAATATTAATTGCTGTAATTTGGAAATGGTGACCATTTAAGGTCAATTTTTTTATGGAAATCGTGGGGGAAAATATGGTAGGCTGACTTGGGATTACAGAGAATAACATGCAAATAATTTAAACTTTATCTACATGGAATTTTTTTTTTTGTTTCAACCAGTATAATTTTATTTACTTTTCTGTAGAGGAAAAGAAAGGCAGCAGCAACAGCCACAGCAGAAGAAAGCACTGAAAAGGATGTAGAAGATGCAGGAAGTCCAAAACAGAAGAGACGTACTCCTTCTAGTAAGTCAAAAAACATCTTTCCAGAAAGTAGATACTGTTAACCTCTGAAGACTCAAATAACTTAAATTAAGTTTTTGGCTTTCCCAGGAAATTAACTATGCTTAGAGTAACTTCGGGAAAACTATGCTAACTCTATGCAGCAAAGTGTGTTCAGACACTGTGTCATAAAGTTGATGAAGCTGTTAGTTAATAAAATTTGGTAGTCCCCTCCCCTTTTTGTTCTTGTTCATTCTCCCCACCATTCTCATTTTTTCCCTCCCATCTTGTCCAATTCGCTGTCAGGAAATGCTGACTCCCCAGGACAAATTCATGACAGCATTTTACAACGAGAAGCTAGCAGCAGCAGCGACGGGAACAATTTCCAGCAGTGAGTGGATTTAAAGTGAAGGGGAGAGGATCAGCTTTAAGGATAGAGAATTTATAAAGACAGAATTTGAAATAGTTTGGTACAATTCGGCATAGCCGGTATTTTTTCCATAGAAAAGCCATAAGCAGTTACAATAGAGTTATTACAAGTCAAGATTAAGGTTCTTTGAGATATCCAGAGCAGTATGTAATGCCTAGTTGCACTATTTCTTGCTCTCTAGCCACTGCTGTCCATACCTTGCATGGATAAGAATCAAATTCAGATAGTTTTTTAAGTTAACTACTTTGAAGAATATTTTTCAGATCATATATCTTGGATAACGGGGCAATATCCATGGCACTATAAACATACCCGTATGATGGCACTTAAACATTCAAATTTGCTGAAAGTCAGTCTTAGCAGTTGAAAAAAATGCATAAGAGAAGGAAGAAAGCCTGTTCCAAATACCTAGATACTGTGACATGAGCAACAGTGGTCAGAGCACTTTCATTCCAGAGTACGACATTAACCCTTTCAGTTTTACCTTCAGGTGTGACCATTTGAAAAAAGACTTGTCTTCCTTTTATTCAGAATTTTTTTTCCTAAACCTTCACTGTCTGGATAAGAGTTAATTAACTAGATTTACCTTTTATGTAAGCAACAGAATGGTGCAATGTTAGGCATCTATTTTCTAGTTTAAGCCAAAAGAGATATATATTTCAGATTCTTCCTCATCACCAGTCTACACACAATTTTCAGTATGCAGTCCTTAGATTTTATTTTATTTTTACATACATGCTCACACCTCACTTAAATGACCACTAAACTTGTACTGTTTTTGTTTGATACATGAATAAAATATATTTTCCCTGGGAATATGTATTGTGTTATGTGTAAGTGGTGATGAGGAAGTGCAGTTGGGATGGGGTGGTGTTTAATAGTTTATGTTTTAATATTATTCAGACTAACTTTTCAAAGTGTGGTTGTACAAGAACTTACTCAGAATGTTTTTAAAAATATATTGCTGGCTGTAGGGGGTGAATTGCTGTCCCTACTCCAGAAAACCCCAAAAGTCTCTGCTCCTCTTATTTTGTCTGACATCCTTAATGCAACTACCTTCTTCAGTAGTAGACGGTTTGAAACTACAGCCTTTTAAAGTGCACTTTATTAGGTGTTTGTTTAAAAAAACCCACAACATTAATACTGTAAATCTTTCATTCATAATAGGTAATGAAAGTTATATAATAATGGCTGTCACTTTTAATATGCTAACCTTAGGGGTTAGCCCATTTGGGGAGTCAGCAGTCACGAGCATCTATTTTTAAAGACTGTGGGATCAGAATCTTAACAAGGGAAACACTATTTCACTTCTTAAGAGAACAAAATTGATGTTATGGATGAAAATATGTTTTTTGCCAACCTCATGATATAGAAGTGTGTTACCATTACTGCAGATGCTTGTGAATGTGTGTAGAATGGCAGAAAGAGGAACTGCTAGGGAATTTGGAAAACAGTATCCAGAAAGATGAGGACTTATATTTTGAAGTCTCTTTAGAGGTGGCAATGAAAGCATCGAAGAAAAGTTGTTTCTATTTTTAGATTAGTCTTGGATTATAAAACCAAGCAATGGTCATGTCTCTGCATTTCAAGGCCCTAATCATGACTAAGACCTTTGCACATTACCAGAGTTAAATCATTAAGATAATTGTATTAGACTGTTATAAATAAGCTTATATCAATAGATTGGAAAGGAGAATCTCAAAGATGTATGCCTTAATAATTTCTGTTACAGTTGATAGAAACATAGCTTTGAACTTCTTTGGCAGCATTTATTGTCTTAGAAATCTTCAGTGCAGGAATTATTCTTAATAAAATTCTTAATGTTAGGTTAATTTCGTATTTTATTTGGATTATTTTTGGAGACTATTGATATTAATTAGGACATTGTGGGAGGTCCACTTCTTCTCCTTTGGGTCCATCGTTGGTTTTGTTTCTTTTCCCTTTTTATGAAAGAGCTTACACCAGCTACCAATTGGTAGGGCTTGGGAGAAATCTTTCCACATGGGCTGGTTATGCTGTACTTGTGTGAATCGCTGAGTATTTCTTTTCTCCTTCTAAAGAGCTTGTGACTGTGGACAGCCCACAGGTCTTATCCAGTATGGCATTTTTCTGCTACTAGCATTCAAAAGTCTTATCCCTCACAGCACTATTCTCAGTCTTCCCTTTCCTTGTGTTAATGGGCCCCTGTAGCAGAGCCTGATGGCCAAAAATTTTAATTTTGGCAAAAGGGAAGTAGAAAGCTTGTTTCATAATACAAGCTTTCTTGTATTATGTCTAAAATGCCCTTATTCCAACATCCTTCCAATCAGAATCTTAGGGGTGCAAACTGAAGTGCCTTAAATGAACTGGCTTTATCAGTTAAAACCAGCAACTCCAAATTATAGAGATTAATAGGCAGGCAGAGGCTGCAGAACCTCTGGGATGGAAACTGATGCTTGTTGTAGGGCATACTCCCTAACAGAAAAATTGCTGTATTCTGCACTAGCTGTATTTAAATGGTTGTAGAAGATAATCTTTCTTTTGTGGTCACTCCAAATTTATCCGAATATTTTGAAGAGTGGCTTAAACAGAGAAAATTAGTGCATGAGGTGATATAAGTTAGACTTGAAAATGCTGGGAGAGGGGAGTTTTGACATCAGTTTAACAGGTATGAAACTTTAATGCCGCTTTTAGGTTGTATTTTTTTCTGGTAATGGCTTTTGTACACTATTTAAGTGGTGAAGAATTATTTTGAAAAGTGTTTTGAATATATGGCACTAGAAAAAAATTAGACACTAGATTATTTATGGGAGTCTTTTTAACCTGTCTTTTTGGGAAAGCAAATTTTCTACAGTTCATTTAGGCCAAGTAATATTTTGTTCCAATGCAACCTCTTTTAAAAAGGTCTTAAGACTAATATAGTTTAATCTTGTTTAATTTAGAGCAGAGAACTAATGCTTGCTAGAGTTGAAGTATTCTTCTGTTTACCTTGAAAGCAAAAGTAATAATGAACTTTTATATATGATCTGATCCTATATCAGGATCTAAACTTCCAGGAAAACTTTGTGGATCAAAATTTTGTGGAAAAGAAATTTTCTTTGTTGAACTAAACTTTTTCATAATAGCTTAATAGCAAACTTGGTTTGAAATCATAGTTGTCTTGCCATAGGCTGCTGCACTGGGTTAAGTGTGTTCTTGCAGTACCTGATGCCCAAAATCTGGATTTCAAAATTAAATTTAGGACCGAGAACTCAGAGCTCAAGTCACAATGTTTCTGATGCAGTTCTATGGATTCATATTTGAAATCTGTTTATCTTGTGAATTGTATTGGTGTTTATAGATTGAACATGCTAACATTGCAGAGTACCACTTGGCATCCAAAAAAAGGATCTCAAGGCACCCCTAGTTTAAGCATTTGTAAGCATTGCCCTTCAGGATTTCCTATTTTATTTGTGCAGCCTTCCCAACAGGAAGATTTTTGAAGCCTATGCTTTAGGGAACCATAAACCTTGTTTGCTTTTTCAATCTTTTAAACGAAGAAAGTCACCATATTGAATCGTTTTTCCTTCTCCCTTCACTGATTTGGTCTTAGGTTGTTGGCTTCTAAATGGCATGTTCAATTCTGGTGCTGCACCCAGGTTTCAACGTGCTTTTGGTGTTTGCAGCTTTACTCAAGCTTTACTCCTTTGGCTTCTGTTACTGTTGCTGTCTTCTTCTCAGAGCCTGCTTTTTACATATAAATATAAATAATAATCCCCAAGAAGCAAAGATTTTTTGGGGTGATCAGGGTGGATAAAAATCAATGATAAAAAAAATCTGAATTTTTTTTTTAATTTAATCATATTTTATTATTTTTTGTTAAGTTGCTTGTTTTTTTAAAAAACCCTATATAAAGATGGTTTTAATTTAATATATATTAAAGCTCAAAGGTATCATCATGGAATAGGGATTTTAACTTCTAATTATGTACTATTTGAGACCATATAATCGTGTAACCTTTTTAGAATAGTTTTATAAATAGGTCACAACAGGCCATGGACTATATTAGGGGCCTAATCTTATGGGGTTCCCAGAGGCTCCTCTATAGATGAGTACAGATTAAAGAAAACCACTCTACCCAATCAGACTCAGTGCTCAGTCTAGAAGATCCCATTAAGCATCTTTGTCATGCTTCATTTCAGTTCTCAAACTGTGTATTTGTGTCTCCAGAGGTAACATCTTTGTTCATAGTAGCATATGGAGATGAGAGATAACAGACTTGATTACTTACCCATCAGCCCTGTTGTCTCTCTGCAAGTTTGTGTACACAGTGAAGCCCTTACCTTTCTCTAAAAGGGCAAAGCTTCAAGAAGTTAAATGAACAGAGGATTATTGGGGGTGGAGTAGATCTGGGCAAGGAGGAGGAGTTGAGAGAAATGTGAGGAGGGAGCGGCAGTAGAAACAAGAGAGAAACATTTTGAGCAGAATATTCCAGAAGTCTTGAGGGATAAGTGGCTGAGTATAGCCTCTCCAGATCTAGTAAGGGAATGGTATGACAGAAAGGAAAACCTATCATGGCAGGAGGCTTGCCAGGCTGTAAGACCCTGTTTGGGAATATTTTTAATGAATTTCCTCT